GTACTTTGTTCATTGTTTTTATTTTATGCACCTGTACAGTACTTTGGTTTTTATTGTGCTTTATAAATAAATGATGATGATGATGAAATCTACAGTTAGTATTTGGTGTATTTGTGTACACCGACAGCAGCACTTCCAGGGGTCAGTTCCTGCATGTATTTCCTTTTTCTTTTAACCAAAAAGTGTAATGACAACAATGTAAAGTAATTAAGTTATAACAGTCGATTATTCATTTCAAGTTTTTTTTCTTTATTTCTTGCAGTTAGTCTGTAATTATAGTATTTGAATTGTCTCTGCTTCTTGTGGGTGCACTTCCTGTCCTGTCCCCTGCAATAATCTGCTCACCTGTGACCCTAAACCTCAGGTCTCTGCTGTAACTAATCTTATATTCTACAGCAAAATGAAATAATTACCCATCAATCAAATGGGTTTATGGTTTGAGATTTATGGTATCATGAAGGCAGAGCAGCTACTACTAAACATACATGACATACACATACTAAACATACACTCTGTCCTCCTTTTTTATTCGATCTTCTTCTCCTTCACCTCCTCACTGTTGTTTGTGCCAGTAGGCTGTATTCAGCAGAGACATTACTGAGATGTTACAGAACTGCATCAAGTTATAGAAACATCCACATGATTCTTTGACCAGAGGCTTTGTTTTATGACACATAGCCATAAACCCCCAAATCTTTTTGTTGTTGTTTATGTTGACTAATTATTGGTTAAAGCTTTAGAAAACTGCTGTGAAATAGAGAAAATTTGGTGTTTTTAAAACAGCTGGAATGTAGTCTTAGCCATTAGCTTCTCTGTCCTGTTGGGCTTAAACTGTTCAAACTTTGCCCATTCATAACTATCTATAACAGGTAAGATATTGTTTATAGCCTTGCTACAGATCCCTGTTTTTAAAATGTTTGATTTGTTCCTTTTAAATTGAAGTTACTGTTTAAATTGTTAGATGTTTATGTGTATTTGGGTGTTATCTGAGTGTTGATTTGCCTGCAGTAAATGTGTTGATTATCCTTCAGGTTACCATCAGATGTGTCACTCCCCCATCATCGACGCTGCCGTCATCGACTCTGATGACAAATGGCTGTGCTCACAGTGTGACCTCATGTCTCTATCAAAGGTATGTTCTTTATTTAGAATTTAAATGCAATAAACTTTCAAAACAAAACAGTTTTTGTTTCTTTGTTTAAAAAAACTCACCAGACTGTATGAGAACAAAAGGATGAAAGTGTGTATACACTCACCGGCCACTTTATTAGGTACACCTATCCAAC